GCAGCAGCCGCTGGAGAGAAGCGGGAGGAACCGGGTTTCACCAAGCCCGAGGTCCTGGGAGGCAGGAAGACAAAAGGCAAGTCAGAGGGCCTAAGCTGCTGAGCCAGAGCCAGCGCTCAGCCATACCTTGGCCTGTGGCCTGGCTGAGGGGCCACAGTGGATCCCCGCTCCTCAGGCCCAACCCCATACCCCACCCTTCCTCCCCTCATTACGCTTTGGCCTCTTGTAGGAGCTGGTCCAGAGTGTCCAGGTGGTGTAGGGTGCTGTCACCAGACACTGAGCCACAGTTCCCAGGGACTGTGGGCTCAGCCTTTGGGGTCAAAGCCGAGGCCAGGCCAGCAGAGAACAAGGAGCCTGCACTAGGAGCAGGAACGTTGGCTGGGACCCTGGGCGCTGGGAAGGGAGGCAGCAGGGGCGTTTGGGAGGTGCTCAAGGGTGGGACTGGGGGTTGGAGCAGAGGACCCTCTGAGCAGAAGCCAGTGGTAGCCACGGACTTGGCACCAAAGAAGTCCAGGTCGGATGGTTCACCCTACAGAGGAAAAGCAGGTGGTAGGGGCTGATCTGCAGCTCCCCACCCTCCCTCGTCACTGGGCATCAGAGGTGCAGCCTGTCAGTCCCACTGGACCTGCAGCCGCCAGAGCCAGAGCAGAGCCCTTAGAGGCATGCCCTGTTCCAGCCACCCAGGCAGTGGTCCCAGGGTAAGGGAGGCTGGGGCTCTGGTTCTGGCTCCAGCTCAGCGCAGTCAGACACCCAATCAAGCACATGAGTAGTTGCCCTCGCTGTGGCCCTACCTGGAACAGGTGCCACGGGCTAGTTCCCGCTGTCTCCTTGGGAGGGGCACTGGGGGCTGGGTCAGCAATGCCTGAGAACACAGAAGAAAACATGGGCTGCACTGGGGGTGCCACTGCTCGGGAGGCTGGAGGCCGTGCGGGAGGCTGAGGTTTGGTTCTGGGCTAGCCTGAACACCAGGCACAGTGGCGAGCCTGTGATCCTGGTTAATCTGGAGGTTAGATCAGGGAGACTGCAGCAGAGTGGGACCCTGTCAGAAACACCTCTCTCCTCTTCCCCTTCTTCCTCATGAAGGGCAAAAAAAAAACTTGAGAAGAGGTTCAGAGTTCAGGCAGCTCCAGCCTGAGGAGGGGCTACCTGCGGAACAGCGACAACGGGTGCAGGGGCTGGGGATGTGCTCTAGGCTGCCCCATGGAGGGGAGCAGAGTGGGACACTGTGCCTACCGGGAAGATGTCCTGGTGGCCTCAAGAAAAAAGGAACTTGACTCTGTCTACAGCTGGAGCCTCTGCCCACCTTGGACCTCCTGGTTCCAGAGCCTCCTTCCTCCGAAGGCCTTGCCAAAGCCCCTCAGCCTCCCTGAGGACATACCCAGGCAGAGCAGCTCTTCGTCCAGCAAGGAGAGGGCGTTGCTCGTGCTGTTGGGCCTGGGTGGGGCCTCGGCCTGGCTGGATGTGCGGCTGCGGGGAGGTCCTGTGGCCTGGGGGGGCGGAGGGAGGATAGGGATGCCTGAGGAAGCAGGGGCGGGGGCTGAATCCTTTGGTGTGTCCGACTCGGCAAGGTCGATGAGAGTGCCTTGGTTACTGGAGTGAAGGTTTCCTGAAGGGGTACAGGAGGAATCGGCTATTCCAGCAGCCACGAGTCAGGAGGCAGGACCCTGGGCACAGAGGCTAACGCACCAACCTCTGGCAGAAGCTGATGGCATTTCTGCCAGGGGCCACTGAAAGACAAGCTGGAGAAGGCAGGCCAGGAACCCCCCCTGCATCTCCTGGCCTCTGGGAAGTGAGGGGACTGCTTGGGATGCCTTAACCTCCCCATGTCAGCGTGCACCAGGGTCTGTGGGTGGGGCTGGGCTGCAGGGTCCAGAGGGAATCCAAGCACTGTACCTTCAGAGTCTGGCATGGCTGAGGTCTCACCATTAACAACCTGCCCCTCGATAATTGTCTTATAGGAGTTGATGACCCGGGAGAGGTTGTCACTGGCCTGCAGGATGTCCCCTAGAGCGGGAGAGAGTGACTCCCACGCATGTCCCAATCCCTGGCTCATCCCTGCCAACCAGTTTCCTCCCCACTCACCCAGACTACTGTCATTGTCCTCTGTCTCACTGGCTAGTTTAAATAAGGTTCGCCTCTTGCTCTCACACCGATCAAAGAGTTCCTGAAAGACACCCGTGACAGATCGCACCTACACGAGGCTCCAAATCTGACTCTGCTCGTGCCCGGAACGCAGGTCTCCTCAGAGAAGCACAGTCAGTTACCACAGGGCAGGGGCCGAGGCAAGCCACAGTCCACCTGAGACGCCTGTGCAGGCAGACTCCACTAGGCAGGTCCAGGGCAAGATGGGCCCTTCCTGCCTCCTGGGCGAGCACTGCCTCAGAGTCGCAGCGAAGCCTCTCTTCAAAGGCAGGGGTGAACACTCATCTCATTTAAGATGGGGATGCTGGGCCAGGCATGGTGGTGAAGGTGCTGGATCCCACATGGCTAACCATGTGGTTCAAGTCCTGGATCCCCATCTTGAAAAACACACCAGGCACTTGTGTGTGTGCCCAAATTCCCAAGGAGAATGGAGAAGGGACTGTGGCACGGTCACACCCCAGCCCCCGTGGTGTCTCTCATTTTCTCTCTCCCCAGCGTGCACATGCACCCAACAGCAAAATCCTATGAAAGGGGATGCCACCCTCCACCTCCCCGCTGCCCAGATATGAGCTCACGAGCAGCGAGCGCCCAGCCCAGTGACAGCAGGGACGCACTCCTGGAGGGCGATGGGCTACCTTCATGAGTTCCCGGTCTCCTTGCGAGGAGTCCTCGCGGCTGTAATGCAGCAGCATCTCGCCCAGCAGCTTCGCATTGTTGTTCACCTCCTCCAGGGTGTGCAGGCGCTTGGTCACCTTCTGGATCCGCGCCTCGTCCTGCCACCAAAGGACCAAGGAGAGCTCGACTGGCCCGTTTTCCCACTTTCAGGGGCTGAGTTCACGCCTCTTCACAACGCTAGAGCAGAGGCCAGGCCCCAAGCACCTTACAGGGCGGTTCCCGGTCCGGTCTGCAGGCCCCCAGCACTCCTGCCCTGCCCCACCCCTGGGGGCCCTCCTGGTCAACGGTCCAGCCTCTTCCACAGTGCGATGCTGCTGCTCCTGTTCTCAGCCTCTCCCGGCGAGGGCTAGCAGAAGCCACAAGGAATGGGCCTCACGTGCAGGGGAAGGCAGCAACTTTGGCTTGTGGCCGGGCCCCAACCCACGCAGAGACTCGGGCCCACTCACTTCCTTCACCATGGACTTTATGAGCTTGTTGGCCTCTTGCAGGTCATCGGGGTTCTTGCTCTTTAGCAGCTTGGCTAGGAGCTGGAGGAGAGGGTATTAAAGCTGAGGGGAAGGCAGCCACCGCCCCAACCCCAGGAGACGCCAGAGACAGCCTCCTTGTAGGGCTACCACGGGCCCTTCCTGGGCTGACTCCCACCTGGGAAACCCCACCCGCGCCCTCCTGGGCCGCCGCCCACCGGGAAACCCCACCTGTGCAGCCTTTACCTTGGATTTCTCCTCATCGTCAAATACAGGGTTTTTGGGACGAGGTGGCGGTGAGGGGATCAGCGTCCTGTCCGCAGGGGTCAGGGGGTCAGACTGCACTATGCCTGAAAGGACAGGGCACAGTGCGTTCAGGCTGTGGTCCCCCTGTCACCACTCCTCACATTCCAAGGGTCATATCCTGTAACAGGAAGCACGTCGGGCTCTGGATGGGACTGCTCTGGGGACAGATGCCTTCTCTGTAGGAAGAGGAGAGGGATCTAGGGCCCCTGGCATTCCCTTCCCTCTGTGCCCTGTCCAGCCTGTGGGGCTTCCGAGGCCTAGGGCAGGTGGACACCTACCCTGCCTCTTCAACATGTGGTAGGCATCTTTGATCTTGGCTTCTTCCGGCAGGGCCACTGTCCAGCTGTAGAGCAGCTCGATGATCTTGGTCTTCACTTTCTCAGACACCCTGTCCCCCAGGTACTAAGAGCAAAGGGAAGGGGACAACCCGGTAGCTGCGGGCTGGAGCGGGAAGTGCAGGCTCTGCGTGGGGATGACAGGGCTGCTTGAAACCAGTGGGTGTCAGGTGTGGGGACAGAGGTGGGGAGGGACCCCTGGGGAATGGTTGTGCCCACCTGGGCAATCTGAGCTTGGCAGGGGTAGGAGCACCTCACCATGTTTCCAAGCACAAACTGCCAGAAGCTCAAGAGGCTCTGAGCTCCAAGGAGCTCCTGAGAAGGCCTTTAGTATGCAAAACATCTGCCCCTGCTTTCAGGAGGTCGTAGACCCAGTTGATCTGGGGCCTGCGTCCTGTGCCACAGAGGACCCCAATCTGGCACCACACGCACAGCCACGCTGCACTGCTGTCGTGGGCTGGGAACCCTCAGAGCAGGCAGCCTGTCCCACAGCCATTTGGTCGCTCTGTCACTTCCAGCACCCAGTGTCCAAGAACAGGACGGACTCTTGGTCCCTGGAGACACTGCCGGGTGCTGGAAGCCAGAAAGGTGCAGACGGGAGGAACACAAAGTGAAGACGCTGCTGACTGACCTTTGGGGAGACAACTTTGATTAACTCATTCAGAAACCGGAACTTCCCCACTTCGCTGTGGAACCTCCTCCCGCAGTTCTTCATGCACGCCTCCAGCACCTACGGCCAAAGGGGAGCTTGCTGAGGGCGGGCCCCTGGCCCCTAGACAGCACCGGTGTGGGCTGAGCAGCAGGGTAACGACAGCTTGTCCCCCGGACCTGTGCGCCTCTGCTGAGCAGCCTGGATGCCAGGTCTGGGAGGTGCTGTGAGTCTGTCCTCCTGTTCTACAATGCGAAAACCCAGCCCAGGGGCATAACGAGTCTCTGCCTCAGGACCGAAGGGCCTTCCCACAACAAACTAACATTCCTTGGGGGCAAGGGTGCTCAGACTGCTTAAATCCCTCACCCTGAACAGACAACAGCATTCCTCCCTGCCCCCCACGTCCTCCCCTGACCTGTGCGGCCTGTAGCCCCTGGCCTGCAGTTCACACTGAGCGGTGCACGGCCTCTCAACTCCATTGACTTGGCTTCCTTTTTTATTTTTAATAGCCAGGTGTGTGTGCTCACCAGAGAGAGACAGAGACAGAGGACACCCCTCCAGTGGGGAGCAGTGGGTGCAGCCATGCTGCAATCCCTCCGTCTATGCACATTCATGTGCCTGGAGTGCTCCTTATGCCATCAGGGCTGTGACCACTGGGCCATGTGGCCAGCTTGCCTTCGGTTTTTTTTTTTGGAGAGGTTTTTGCTATAGGACGTGTGCAGTTGCCAGAAAGACAGAGAGATAGAAAGTGAGAAATCACCCCCCAAGGGGGTGGCCATATTACAATCCCTTCTCCATTCTCCTCTTAGGATCTTGGACACGCACGCACACACACCAGGTGTGAGTTCAAGCCATCAGGTCTGGGACTTACACCACGGTTGACTACATGGGAGTCCAGCGACATAGCCATTACGCCATTTCCTGGTCCTTTGGTTTAGGTTTTGTTTTGTTTTTTTTTTTTTGGGAGAGATTTTCACTGTAGGGCGCGCCAGACAGACAGAGAGAGACATAGAGACAGAAAACGAGAAATCACCCCCCAGGGGGGATGGTCACACCGCAATCCCTTCTCCTCCATTCTCCTCTCGGGATCTTGGGCACGCACGCACACGCGCCTGGGCGTGAGTTTTAAGCCACCGGGTCCGGGACACGAACCGCGGTCGACTACTTGGGAGTCCAGCGACATAGCCATTACGCTAACTGCTGGTTCCCCCTTGGCTTCAGTTTTTAAAGCACGGTTTCTTACTGTGGTCCTGCTGACAAGGTGCGATGGTCATTTTTTTGAGAAGGGGCATCCTGTACATTCTTCTTTTTTTTGGGGGGAGAGGGGAGAGGTTTTTGCTATAGGGCACATGTACTCGCCAGAGAGATAGAAAGCGAGAAATCACCCCCGCCCAGGGGGGATGGCCACACCACAATCCCTTCTCCATTCTCCTCTCGGGATCTTGGGCACGCACGCACATGCGCCTGGAGTGAGTTTAAGCCACTGGGTCCGGGATTCGAATTGTGGTTGGCTACATGGGAGTTCAGCGACATAGCCATTACGCTAACTGCTGGTCCTGATCCTGTACATTCTAGAATATTTAGCAGCATTCCTGGCCTCTACCCACCAGCTCCCACCAGCACGTCCCCTCCTAACAGCTGACAGCTGAGAACGTCTCCAGGTCTTACAAAGTCCCATGGTAGGCAAACCACCACCAGTTGAGAATCACTCTTTCAATGTCTTTGCTCTTCAGCTATTTAAGCGCCAGGTCCTCTGTCTAGCATTCTAGGGCCCAAACAAGGTTCAGGAAGAACCGGGATTCCCCTGCACTCAGCTACTCCCTGGTGTACGGGGGCAGGCAGCCCACAAGCGCCATGCACCACTCACTCGGCATCTCGAATTCATTGAGCCTGAATCTACACCAAGGTCCTCCCCTGTGGCCTGCCCCTTTGGTGTGATGCCAGCACTTTTTCAAAAATATTTATGTATTTAATTCCCTTTTTTTTAAATATTATTTTTTAATTTGACCAGGGAGAGACAAGAGAGAGAGAGAGAGAAAGGGAAAGTGAAAAAGCAAGCTGCCAGGCCTAGGACTCAAGCTGCGGTCCACCATGTAGGAATCCAGCACCTTTTAACCAGCAGGCCACCTGCCGGCCCCCATGATGCCTGCGCTCCTAACAGCCATTACTTCTGTCTGCAGAACCAATGGTGCTCGCCTGAGTCCTGGGTGGCCCAGTCCTCACTATCGAGGCAGCTTGGTCGGCAGCGTGCCAAGAAGCCTTCTCTGAGAGCCAGCTGGGCTCAGGGCCTCTGGGCGCCCTGCCTTGGCACCCCTGCTGGCAGGGCTCACTCTGTAGTCACCTCCTGAAGCCTCAGTGCTGGGCACAGTGGCATATGCATTTGTGGAATGGCTGGCTGAACATGTCTTCATTGAGGGTATTCCACTGGCTTTCGGACATACGCCCTGACACCATCGGGAAGCCCGCAGGGACATGAGGGAAGGCCTGGGCAGGGGAAGACTCACTGCTTCCACCTCTGGAGAGAGAAGGACCTACCGTCAGGGCCTGGACTGCCTCCCATTCCTGCGGCGACTGGATCTTGTGGGCCAGCAGTCGGACGGCAATCTGTGGCCTGGGGACGAGCAGGGCTCGCTGTCACACACTGACATGGGCCATCTGGGTAGGGGTCTTTGGCCGCAGTTTTGACTTTTCCAGTCAGCTCTCACCTGCCCCAACCGCACTGAGACTCACCCTTCAAGCTCTTTGTTGATCTGATCACAGAAGCCAATGATGTATTCCCAGTCCTCCTGGCGGTTGGAAGGATTGGTGGCTTTATCTTGGGACAGAACAAAGAGGACAGCTGTTATGAAGAGCAAGGAGAACACAATAAAAAGTTTTCTTTACAATTTTTAGGCACTCAGTTTGCTTCCAAATTCACTCAAGCCTCAGCAGGGCAGTGGGGCTGCTGTCAGACACGCACACTGCTCCCCGCCCAGCATCCGAAAGTGACGGGTGGAAGAGAAGACACCCCTCTGCCTCATGGGGCTTTGAGCGGATCAGGAGCAGCAGCACAAACAGGGAAATCAACACAAGTGACCGAGGTGTCAGCAATAAAAACCTCCGGGAAATGTGCAAAGAACACTCCGCCACATACAACAGGCTAAGTGCTAAACGAGCAGGGCTCTGGAGAGTGGGCTGGGCAGTGGTACACGGTAAGGGGTGTCTGCCGGGCAGCCCACAGCCGCAGGCTGCTTGCTCACACCGAGGCCTTTCTGAGTACCGCAGGCGTGCACGCGCCCATGGTGTAATGATTACGTCGCTGGACTCCCACATGGACGATCACAGTTTGCGTCCTGGACCTGGAAGTTTGAAACTCATGCTGGGTACATGTGCATGCATGCCCCAAATCCCAAGAGAATGGAGGAGGAGAATGGAGGAGAAGGGATTGTGGCATGGTTATCACCCCGGTGGGGGGGGCACTGAAAGATGTTTTAAGCTATAACCTTACTTAATGCTTTTTTTTTTTTTTAGAGGGTTTAGTGTGTGCACTCGCCAGAAAGACAGAGAGAGATAGAGAACGAGAAATCACCCCCCAGGGGGCAAGGTCACACAGCAATCCCTTCTCCATTCTCCTCTCAGGATCTTGGGCACGTACACACACGCACCCGGCATGAGTTTAAGCCACCGGGTCCAGGACTCAAACCATGGTTGGCTACACGGAAGTCTAGCAACACAGCCATTACGCCAACTGCTGGTCCCATGCTTAATATTTTTTAATTCTTAAAAAATTTTTCCCCATTGGAGCCAGCAGGTGGCAGGGTGGCTAAGGCACTGGACTCCCACAAGGCTGATGGGGGTGAGAGTCTCAGACTTGGTGGCTTAAAAAAAAAAATCACACCCAGCCCATGTGTGTATGCCCAAAACCCCAGGAGGAGAATAGAGAAGGGACTACACCATGGCCACCCTCCCGAGGGGGTGATTTCTTACTTTCCCTCTCACTATGTACCTCTAGCGAGCACACACGTTCCATGACAAAAACAAAACATTTTTCATTTATTCATAATAAACTGTGTATGTTCACATGTAAAAGAAAGAGAAGAGCACCCTCCCCAGGGCCTGAGTCACACCGTGATCCCCTTCCTCCCTGGGCCTCCGGCCAGTCGTGGCTTGGATACCAACACAGGGGTCGAGTGTCTTTCAGGCCGACGGGGCCAGAGATTCAGTCCACTCGTGGGCTCTGGCTTCTCCTGAGTAGACATGACCTCTGCGCCAGACCCGGCCTGGTGCGGAAGTGACTTTGAGACTGCGCATGACACCAGTCACTGCCAAGCCGGGCCCCATCCCTGTGCAATCCGGCCCCCAGGAGCACGGAGACAGCTCGGCCTGAACAGCTCCACCCCTGGCTTAAAAGGCTTCCCACCGTCAAGCACAGACAAGTGCTGGGGAGTTCTCTGAGGGTCCCTCCGGGTTACGATCCAGGGACTACACGTAGTCATGCTCTGCACGACGAGGTTTCAGCCAACAGTGAGCTGCACACCTGACAACGGCCCGTCAGACCACACACATGGCCACGATGTACTGAGGCCATGCCACACGGGCTTGTGTACGCACAAGGAGGCTCGCACACGTGCATTTCTCAGAACACATCCCTGCTGTCAGGTAACACTGGACTGCGGTCTGGGCCCTCCTCCCTCAGCCTCAGAACTGTGCCTACCAAGGACAAGGACGGCCCAGCTGAATGCACTTAACTGGGTGCCCACTTTGGGGTCACATCTGGAGGCCCCCTCTTTGAAAAAGCACTCTCGAGCTGTTTGCTAAATTTAGTGTTTCAGGTTGAGAAGACAAACAGAAGGCTGGAGTCACACATCCCTTTAGAATAGCCGTCTCTTTGCATGCCCCCCACCAGGGCCCGAAGTGGAGGAACAGCCAACAAGGTGCATCAGAATTCTGGGGCTCAGATTTCTCACAATTCTGAGTCTTTCCGTAAGAATCACTGACCAGATGACCAAATCCTAACAGGGACTTCAGCCCCTCCATGGAACAGGGCTCCCGAGCTCTGAGCAGACACCTCCCGAGGCAGGGCTGGACCTGCTGGGCAGTACTTCTGCTCTGGCTGCAGGGAGAAGATTCTGACAGTTTAGATTCCTACTCAGATGTGGAAAAAGTGTTTCTAATCTTGAAAGAGAATTAGCAGCCGTTCAAAATATCAAGTCGGGCCAGCCACAGTGACACCGTGGTAGCACATGCACTGCGATGCTCGTCGCCACGGGGCAGGTCCCGAGCTTGTGTCCAGAGGTCTTCCAGTGCGAGCCGGATACATGTACGCCTGGATCTGGGCTGGTTGAGGCTGGGGCGGAGTGTGTGTAGAGATCCTGATGGAGGAAGGGGCCTCTGCCTCCCTCTCTCATGGAAGAAGTAAATGAAAATAAAACCATGGGATGAGGGGAAAGATCAAACTTGGAGAGAAGGGAGATTAGTTCAGTCAAGGGTAGCCACCTGAAGGAGAGCCCGGACAGCCACGGGTTTACAGTGACCTGCTAGCTACCCACTTCCAGAGAAACCGCGGTCTCCCCCAGGCGCTGTGTGGCTTTCTCACTAATCCTTAACATCTGAGATACTTGCAATTCTCACTTGACACCAAGAAGCTGCAGGATACAAAAATAAGACGGTCTGAGGAGTCATACCCGCCCAACGCTATTACGGCTCTGAGAACAGTCACATCCTCCCGGTGGGAGAAAGATGAGCCCACTCACTTCCTCTGTTTGCAGTGGGAAAAACACCTTCCAAATAGAGTAAAACGTGGACCCCTCGCCCCCATAAGCAGCAGGCGTCTTCCAAACAAGAGTTTCTACAGCACCTGCTTCCAAGACACTCCTACTGACTTTCTGCCTCTGTTCAACGCTAGACCCGTTTCTTTCACCTAGGTAGACCTGGCACCAACCTGCAGGGTCGTGGGTCCCCGGGCCTACACGTGTTGGTGCGGTGGTCCCTTCTAAGCATGTCCTTCGGCTCTCCATGCAGCCCAGAACGCGGACCTCACTCACGGAACTAGAGTAAACTTTGGATAATGCTGGGTGACTCGCTCTCCATCTGCCCACTGCTGTCCTCAGCACAAACACAGAGCCATCCACTCTGACACGCTCTACCGCTTGGCACAAGCCTCCCCTATAGACCCTGCCTTCCAGCACTGCCCCCTGGGCTCCGCTCTGACTCACTGCTTTTTCTATTTTCGGGTCTCTGTTGAAAGCCTCATTCTGTTCTGTCTGCAACTCTGGCTCCCCTGCTTTTATTTTCAGCCTAAGTCCATTGCTAGCTTCGACTATGGCAGGACCTCAAAATGTCATATAGGCATGATGCTACGGTTTGAATGTGTCCTCCCAAAACAGTCGTTTTGGATTCTGGTTGTTGATGAAGACAGTGAGGGTGGAGGCTGTCGTGGCGACGTGGCAGTAACGTGCCGTCAAGTGAGGCTGAATCCATCTGGAAAGTTGCCAGTTTGGCCCCCTGGTCAACCGGTACACGCCAGGCTCATGCAGCCCTAACCCTGGCTGGCTGGGAAGGCTGTGGGGACTGCAACATGGGATCCTGTTGACTTAAAAATAAACTCTTTGGGGCCAAGCAGATAGCGTAGCAATTACATCGCTAGACTTCCACATGGCTGACTGTGGTTCGAGTACTAGACCCAGTGGTTTCTAACTCAGGCCGGGCATGTGTGTCCGCCCAAAATCCCCAGAGGAGAAGAGAGAAGGGACTGCAGCATGGCCATCCCCCCTGGGAGGTGATTTCTCACTTTCTTTCACTGTCTCTCCTGTGAGTGTATGTGCCCTAAGACAAAAATCTCTCCCCAAAACAAACTCTTCAAAGTTCACTTACCTATTTTTTCTTTTTAAAAAAGTGAATTTTATTTATAATTATTATTTTAAAATTTGCTGTATGTGGTGCCAGTAAGGGCGCTGGACTCCCACATGGTCAACCATGGTTTGAGTCCCAGACCTGGTGGCTTACTTTTTCACCCCCACCCCCACGTCCCTCTCTGGTTAAATTAAAATAAATAAAGCTAAATAAAGTACCTAAAAAATAAATTTGCTATATGGCATGTGCACTTACCAGAGAGAGATGGAGAGACAGAGAGAGAAAGCCAATAGGCCTGAGACTCGAACCCTAGTTGACCATGAGGGAGTCCAGTACCTTTAGCACCATGCCACCTGCTGGTCTCCCTATTTTTTCTATGAGTAAGAGACATGGAGTAGTTCCAACACGGTCCTGATGATGTGATCCACCCCCAGCCCCAGGTCATGGGCATGCATGTTCCCAGTGTACTCGGGGAGGTCTCCGGATGTAAATCTGGAATCTTTCCATGTGAATCAACCTCACAGTGTTGTGTTCTACTGCTGAGTGACCAGATCTGGGCCCAATTAATAAACTTTAAGAAGTGTGTGTTGGGGGGGAGCAGCAGATAGTATGATAGTTAAGGTGCTAGACTCCCAACATGGCTGACTACGGTTCAAGTCCTGGACTCAACAGCTTGAAAATCATGCTGGTCATGTGTGTGTGGGTGCCCAAGATCCCAGGAGGAGAATGGAGAAGAAGCGACTGTGGTGCAGTCATCCCCCAGGGGGTGATTCCGCGTGTTCCCTCTTAACCTCTCTCTAGTGAGCTTATGCGCTCTATGGCAAAAACCTAAAAGAAAAAAAAAAGATGGAAACAATCAAACCAAGGGATTAAGAGGTGAGAACAGGCCCTGTCACCATTGTGCACTGATAGTCACCACTAGGTAAGATGAAAGCCACGTGGGAGGCTCAAGTTAGAGGCCAGGTTTCAGTTCCTGGGCAAACTTCAACACCCCAGGCATGTAAGCCTAGCGAAACAGGAGGTTAATTGGTCGGTTTAGAAGAGGGAGGGGTGAGCAGGTGGCGTGGTGGTTAAGGGCGCTGGACTCCCACATGGCTGACCACAGTTTGAGGACCTGGCAGCTTGCTTTCTCACTTTCTCTCTCTCTCTGATCAAACAAAATAAAGTAAATAAATAAGGTTAGCTTTATTTATTTATTTAAATCATTTTAATTATTTATCTTATTTCATTTTATAAATTTTGTTAAATAAAATGGTCAAGTTAAAATAAGTAAATAAATGAATTAATAAATCAATGAAATTAACTTTATTTATTTTAATGTGACTGCAGAAGGACATAGTGAGAGACAGAGAGAGAGAGAGAGAAAGCAAGCAAGCCATTAGGTCCAGGATTCGAACCACGGTCGGCCATGTGGGAGTCCAGCGCCCTTAACCACCACACCATCTGCTGGCCCCAAAAAAATAATTCTTAAAGAAAAAGAAGAGGGAATACAGCAAAGCGGACACACTCAGACAGACATGCATGCTCTTGCTGTCTCACCATATGACACATTATGCTGCCCTGAGACTGCAGAGTCCCCAGGAAGACTCGCCCTTGACCCTGACCCTCCAAAGCCATGAGCTAAATAAACGTCTGTTCATCGATCCCCAGTGTGGCACTTAGCTGTCATCGACAGAGAAACGGACTAAAGCAGAGGGCCAGGGCAGCACAGACTACCATCTCAGCGTGGCCAGACAGTCCGGGGAAGGCCGTTCTATGTCACAGGAACAGGCAGACACAAGAACATGGGCTGGAAAGCGAGTCAAGAATCACCCTCCAGTGCTAGGGTCTTGAATCAAAAGAGAAACTCAGTCAGACACCAAATCTTTATTAAGCGCCCACAGAAAATGAAGTACACATGGGTCAGCCAGGGGCTTGGTGGGTAAAGGAGCTGAATCTCACGTGGCCGATTGTACAGTTTGAGTCCAGGACCCGGAGGCTTGAAAAACATGTTGGGTACCTGGGTGTGCATACCACATCCCCTGGGGGATGGGGGTGCTTTCTCTTTCTCTCTCTCTCAAGTCTTTATGATCTACAACAAAGAAAAAAAAAAAAGAAAAAAGAAAAAGAAGCAAACAGAATGCAGGACCCCTGAGGGAATACAGAAAAAGTTTAAGACCCAGATCCTATTCTCTAAGAGGTTGTGCTGTTCTAGTTCAACACATGATGAAAAAAAAGTAATCAGTACACAAAACCGGACTCTGTAAGTGCTAATTTAGTATAGAAAGAATCTTTTTAAAAAATTGTTGCTGGGGCCAGCAGGTGGTATGGTGGTTAAGGTGCTTGATTGCCACATGGCCAACCGGGTTCAAGTCCCAGATTTGGCAACTTGCTTTCTCATTTTCCCTCTTTCTCTCTCTCTCTATTGAGTGCACACGCCCTACAGCAAATTACAACAATAATAAATTAAATTAAATTAAATTAAAAAAAGGAGGGACCAGCAGTTAGCGTAATGGCTATGTCGCTGGACTCCCACGTAGTTGACCGCGGTTTGAGTCCCGGACCTGGTGGCTTAAACTCACGTCGGGCGCGTGTGCGTGCGTGCCCAAGATCCTGAGAGGAGAATAGAGGAGAAGGGATTGCAGCATGGCCATCCTCCCTGGGGGGTGATTTCTCGCTTTCCGTATGTCTGGCGAGTGCACGCGCCCTATAGCAAAAAACTCTCCAAGAAGAAGAAAAAGAAAAAGAACTCGTCACTGGCCAGCTCCATGGTAGGCGGCACCTACCTACCTATCTACCTAGAGAAGCTAGATCCTAGATGGCAACAGTGGCTTGAATCCCCAGTCCTGTCAGCTTGGGGCATGTGTGCAAGTGCCCAAGATGGATGCGCTGGGGAACTGGAGAAGGGGGATCAGACAGACCCTGTAGAAAGTGCTCATCTCTTCCTCACCTGCTCTATCATGAATAAAGAAAAATACAAAACCAAAACTCACACCACTTCTCCTTCCCAACTTCCCCATTTCTATAAATCGTGCCACCATTCAAAAGTCCCCTGTTGCCCTGCCCCCAGCACCCAGGTTGAAAACCCCACCCTTGTCTCCTCTCTTCCTGTTTCTATCAGTCCTGCAGTCCCTTTCTCTGCAATTTTTTTTGAGAATTTACAAAATATTTATTAAAACAGACTTGCTGCAAGACGCCACTTCAGCATTCACGGTGGCTCACAATGGTTTTGATTTCCCTCCCGAAAGCTCTCCTAGATGTCGCAGGTTTGAAATAAGACCGAGCCACAGAAGCGCAGTCCTTTGGACTCTCTGCGTTGCTGTAGCATTCACTCATATCCTGGAAGCACAGAGTCAGGCTACCAAGAGGGTTTAAGAATGCATAAGGAGGGGGACCAGCAGTTAGCATAGTGGCTATGTTGCTGGACTCCCATGTATTCGACCACGGTTCGAGTCCCAGTGGCTTAAACTCACGCCGGGTGTGTGTACGTGCGTGCCCAAGATCCTGAGAAGAGAATGGAGGAAAAGGGATGTGGTTTCTGTCTGTCTGTCTCTCTCTGTCTTTCTGGCAAGCGCATGTGCCCTATAGCAAAAACCTCTCTTAAAAAAAAAAAAAAAGGAGGGACCAGCAGGGCAGGTGGCAAGGTGGTTAAGGCGCTGGACACTCCCACATGTCCCGGACCTGGGGTCTTGCTTTCTCACTCACTCACTTTCTGTGTGTGTGTCTTTTTCTGGCCAAATTAAAAATAAATGACTAAATAAAATTAAATAAATAATAATAATTACTTTTTGTAAAAAAAAAAAAAAAAGAAAGAAGAAAAGAGAATGCAGAAGGAAACTGCACTGGATCTGGTTAGGACTTGGGCTCAAAGCTGAATACAAAAACCAGGATTTCAAACTGGAAACAGCTCTGCAAGTTCCTAAAGTGTTAACACAAATTAAAGGGCATTTACAAAGCAAAACAAAACCAGAAAAAGCTTCCAAAATAGAGGGAACCCTGAGGGCAGGAGGGCTTCCCTGGCAGCCTCCCTTGCAGGGATGGGAGGGCAGGCAGGAGGGGCCAGGGCCCACCCACATTCTCACAGCCTGTTCTTGAAGCTGGGGTCACTCTGGCGCTTGTGGTCTAAGTAAATGCAGTGCCCAATGAAGAGAGGGCCCCTGCACACACAGGCGGCAATGGCGCGGTTCCGGCCCAGAACACCAGATGTGGGCCCCGAAGCCTCTGTGCCCGCACACACTGCTCACACCCATCCCAGTCGGCCAGAGAGGCAGGAGCCCCTCCCCTCACCACTTCCAGTCCCCACTGTATGTGGCCCCAGGACGTCCAAGGCCTGCAATTTTTTTTGTAATCTCTCTCCCTTCACTTCTCATCCCTGTTCGCCTTTAACCACCATGCCACCTGCTGGCCCCATATTTTAATTTTTATTATTATTATTTAATTTGACCAGGGAGAGAGACAGTGAGAGAGGGAAATTGAAAAAGCAAGCCACCAGGTCTGGGATGCGAACTGCAGTCTGTCATGAGCCAGTGCCCTCAACCACCTGCCAGTCCCATAATTTCCCATTTTTATCCCCTGCTAAGTCTCCGAAGGAACTTCTTGCCAGAAACAGCTGAGCGGGTTACGTGTGCCCCAGCGGATGTGCTCCCTCCACCTCACCAGTGTCTTCTCAGCTGCCCATTCTCATAATTTAAGGCCTAGCTGGGCAAGTGGCTTGGAGACAGGGCGTCCTCTTTCCGTGGAACTCTGGCTGTGGTGACTGCTCTGCTAGAATACTCGGTGAACGAACTTACTGGCTGGTATAGCACTCTGAGCTCCTTGGAGAACAGTTCCACACAGTACTTTGTGAACTGCCTGCAAGGCGTTTTGCAAATGTAATGTCATTTTTTCCTCCCTTTGGAGATGTGTGCCCCTTTAAGCCGGAGGTGAACAGCCCGAAGAGGGGGCCTTACTAGGAAAGAGAAGGGAAACGGAAGGAACAGGCATCACCTCCGAGAGCCTGAAGGCTCTGCTGAGAAAGCCCAAGGCAAGCAGCACCTAGGCGGCTTCCTCCTCGTTACTCAAGGAAGACTGCAGGGAGTTTAGCCTACAGGACGGTTCACTTAATGCTTGGCAGCGAACTGCCCGCTAACAACAGCACCCGCATTTCCTACAGCGAACGGCAATTACAGAGATGCGCCGCCGTCATCACAGCTGGGCTCCGATGCTTAACACAGACGGGGTTGTAGACAAATGACCCCGGCGCGTTCAGACGGTCAAGGGTGTGCGTGCGAGCGGGAACAAGGCAGCGCTCTGGTTCACCGCCCGCCGCTCTTTGCGAAATCATTTCGAGCATTCTGCCTGGGCGGAGCGGTCACTCGAATGCATGGGCACAGTTCTGAAGCTGCCAGGCGTGTGCACCGCCGGCACCCCCGGACGCCCCAAGCTTCTGCCCAAATCCAGAGCTTTTCCCTTCGCCAGGGTTGGGGGCAAGGGTCCCGGAGTCACCGCCCGGTGAGGCTCCTCAGTCTCCCCACAGCGCCGATGCACGTCAGCCCGAAGAACACGGCTGTGGCTTTCCCGAGCCTGCGGCGCGCAGACAGGACCCCCAGCTCTCGCCGCCGCGCTCCAGGGCTGGAGGACGCGCCGCAGCGAAGGGAGCGAGGCCGAGCGCCCCGTTCGGGAAGGGGCGTGATCCGCAGGGCTCGCGGCCGGGACCAGCCCAGGCGGGGGCTGCCAGGCGGCAGCGCCGCGGAGCCCCGGGAGGGGACGTGGGGGTGAGGAGAGGGACCGCTCGGCAGCTCGGGGACAGGCAGAAGCGACCGCCGCTACTCACTGAGCCAGGACTCCAGGCTTTCCCCTTCCGCCTCCGCCATATTGCAGCCGCCCGGGCCGACCCCGCGGCGTCAAAGCTCGCGAGATTCTGCACGAGAGGAGCCGGGGCGGGGCCTGCATGGGGGCCTGAGAGGAGCGGGTGCCGCCACCGAGGGTCGTGCCAGAGAGTGCAACGGATCTTGGAGGGCGAGTGTTTCTGTTTGGCTCCTCCTGTTAGACCTTGGAGCGAGAGGCTCCAGCGTCCGGGTCAATGGAGTGAAATGCAGAAGCGGGCCCCGTGCGGTCTTTAGCCCGTCTCCCGTCGCGTGCTCAGGCGCGCCGAGGGCAGTCCTGTGGGGTCCTCGCGGCCAGCCAAGATGGCCGCCGCCGCAGTGAAGGCTGTGCGAGGGTGGTCTGGCCGGGCGCTGGGCTTGCGGCGTGCTCTCCTACCGCTCCCAGGGTGAGAGGGCCCCGGGCAGCTGGGGGCGCCGCTTGGGCCTTCACGGAGGGACCTATGGGAAAGAAGGGGACCTTGGCCGCGCGGGGACCCGGAGAGACCACTGCCCTCGATGCCGGCATATCTGAATTCAGACCTTTAGCTAAGTGACCTAGGGCCAGTCCGAAGGCGCAGTGACCGTCATTTGCGGGTTCAGTTTACCCAAGGTTCTAACAGGGGTGTTGGAGTCGTGTATGTGTGGGAGTTGGGGGAAGAGATGCAAGGCCGGGGGAGGCCGCCCTTACCGTTAGCACTTGACAGGAAGGGGGCTTTGCCGGCTTGTTTGGGGAGCTCTAGTACCTCTTGGGGCAAGTGCCCAAATTACTGCGGCTCAGGTTTAGCAGTTTCACGCCACTGTTGTCAGCAGCTTGGCGAAATGCCTATTGTTAAGTCAAGCTTATCCACTGTGGAGTCAGCCCTTGCTCGCCTCCTCCCTCCCCCCAGGATAACCCAGGTGAGGTGGAGCCGCTATGGCCCTGAATACAGGGACCCCCAGGTCGACAAGGAACATTACCGCAAGTCTGTGGACGAGCTCACTGAAGAGGAGAGGTATGATCAGGAGCTCAAGAAGACTCAGCTCATCAAGGCTGCGCCAGCCTCGAGAACAAGCTCTGTGTTTGAAGACCCACTGATCAGGTTAGGTGGTAGATGGAACTACCTCTGTTCTGTGGTCTGGGACTGTCCCAGGGAACTGAGATTGTCGCCGGGAGGGTCACCAGGAGGGATTCTGTGCTACAGCCTGGGAAAGCTAAACATGTCGCTCTTCTCCTTGAAGTAAATTCACCAACATGATGATGAAAGGAGGGAACAAAGTGCTGGCCAGATCACTCATCACACAGGTGAATAGTGCCTCGCCCCTCGGTCACCTCTTCCCAGAGTTTTGTACTTGATTTTTTCAGTTTAGCTGGAAAGAGAATGGATAAACCTGTATTAAAATTAACTTCCTTTGGGGGTGGCAGGTGGCTTGGTGGTTAAGGGCACTGGACTCCCACATGGCTGACTGCGGTTTGAGTCCCAGACCCCGCGGCTTGCTTTCTCACTTTCCCTTTCTTTCTCTCTGTCTCGCTCTGAACCTCTCTGGTCAAATTAAAATAAATGAATAAAAATAAATAAAGTCAAAATAAAATTTTTTAAAAATTAACTTCCCTCTGTGTGTGGGGTGGGGACTTTACTGAGGTCCTGTAGGAGTTAAAACTGCCATTTTCCATATTGCATCATAAATCTCAGCTCACTCGTTCTGCCCTGGTCTAGCCAAGGGGAGACACTTGGCTTCATCTTGGATGTGCCGAGGGAGGAGCTGCTCAGCCCTCAAATGAGGGGAGAGGGGGCAGGGTGCTAGCTTCGGTGGGTAGACCCATTAGAGAATCTGGGGCAGCCTCTACCACTGTGTCCCTTTGCAGACTCTGGAAGCCGTGAAGAGGAAGCAGTTCGAGAAGTACCGTGCTGCTTCTGCAGAGGAACGGGCGAACATCGAACGCAACCCCTACACCATCTTCCACCAAGCCCTAAAAAACTGTGAGCCTGTGATTGGGCTGGTGCCTATCCTTAAGGGTGGCCATTTCTACCAGGTGAATGGTGGGGCAAGGAGTCAGGGGTGCCCACATGGGAAACAAGATTGGTGGGAGGGCCAGAGTTGGGCCAAGATAAATAGCTCTCTAGAGACTGAGGACTGTTAGGAGCTGCTCATCTGAGCCCAGTGGTGTAAAAATCACGGGCAGAAGATGGGAAAGGCAGAGAGCTAAGAAGTATGTAAATGATATCTTCGGGAGCCCCCGGCCTCGCCTTGTGTCCAACATCTTGTGTGTCCTAAATTGTGCACTTCTCATGGGGAGGGACTGTGTTTATGTCCCTCCTTCATAAGCCTGTGTCTAGCATTAGTGTTAAATCCTTTAATGATGCTTCATCACCGATTGTTGACTTGACCGAGGTATCTCTAACATGGTGTTTCATTACTTTTTTTTTTTTTTTTTTGGAGAGGTTTTTTTCGCTATAGGGCACGTGCGCTCGCCAGACAGACAGAGACAGACATAGAGACAGAAAGCGAGAAATCACCCCCCAGGGGGGATGGTCATGCCGCAATCCCTTCTCCTCCATTCTCCTCTCGGGATCTTGGGCACATACTCACACGCGCCCGGCGTGAGTTTTAAGCCACCAGGTCCGGGACGCGAACCACGGTCAACTACGTGGAAGTCCAGCGACATAGCCATTACGCTAACTGCTGGTTCCCCAGTGTTTCATTACTTTTCATTGTCATGAATGGGCTTGTTTGTTTTGGAGAGGTTTTTACTATAGGGTGCGTGCACTCACCAGAAGGAGAGACACAGAAAGCGAGAAATCATCCCCCAGGGGAGAGGGCCATGCCATAATCCCTTCTCCATTTTCCTCTTGGGATCTTGGGCATTCATGCACCCACGCCCGGCGTGAGTTTAAGCCCCGGGTCCAGGACTTGAACTGCAGTTGACTACATGAGAGTCCAGTGACAGCCATTACGCTAACTGCTGGTCCCATGAATGGGCTTTCGTATCTTTGTTAACATGAACTCCATCAGCATAGAGACTTTCTCACTAATATCGGCATCTCTAGTGTCTGTCCTGACACCTGGCACATGGTGAGGACCTGGTAAGTGATTCCTGGACAGAGGGTCTTGTTTTTAGGCACTGGTAGTCAGAGATGGCTCAGTAGCCTCAGCTATCGGGCTTTTTCCAACTGGGGCTTCTAGTCTACTTAGCGGAGCCTC